TTACATTGTAGGTCTGCCTGCTGGTCAGCCCGCGTTTTGGGTATAGGTGCCCGCTATGCGTGATCCCCACAAGACAATCCCATATGCTTATTCAGCCACGGTGCAGTCCCCCCTCACAGGCGGACCCGTGTCTTCCATTTCCGCTAACCATCTTTTATATGCGTACTCCCCCTTCTCAGGGCTTATCCATTCATTCTACCATCATATCTCCCCATTGGGTAGCAGGTGGCCTCCGTAGTGTCCTCCCTATCGGGACTGCACGCTTTCCAATGTACTGTCGTTTTAATTGCTAGAAATTATCTAGACGCTTTGCGCTTGCGAAAATATATCTAAATCTGTAAAATTTCTTTTGAAGTAGAATAAGTAAGGCCCAGGGATAACGTTGGTAGACCGCGCCTCTCTATGATGCAGGAGCGCTCATGCTATGCCTGGCTTTCCTCTCATCTGAAGCGAAGGGAAGGTGCAGTCATTATGGCGTTTTACAGACATTTCACTATACTTGGATTAAATCCACTTATAGCATTTCCGTTCCCCTTCCGAAGGGGCACAAAGGTTACTTTAATAACCAGAGCGTTTTATAACGTAAGTAATGAGTTAATTAAGTTATTAAGTGTTGATTGGGCATTAATGATTGTGGTGATACGCCACACCTGTTGCGAGATTAGGGGAGCGTACCCCTTTTAATTACTTTTGAAGCATATAAAAAGGCTTTGCTCGGAGCTTCAAACCATACGTCTGGGGGAACCTCGAGGGACGTTGTTATAGCGTATCGTTTGGTCTGAAGACTGGTAGGAGTTGCTACCGGTGTGCATTATTGTTAATGGTTGGGCTGCGTTTGTTGAGGCTCTCTGTGTTCCCAGTGTGGACCAGGAGACTGGAGAAATTGTGCATGTAACCAAGGGAGTGAGTAATTGCGTAAAGCTTGTAGTATCCGTAAAGGTATGTTCCCTCTCTGTTTAGCATAGTGCAAGTATAATGTAAGCCCTAAAACCAACCTTTATTGTTTCTTTAACAGCATTGCAGCTTTGCTGAGAGCACCTCCAGTGTACAGCAGGTTATTTTGACTGTTTATATTTGGGCACGGGCGATCCTTCTGTCGCACTGTGTTTACGTGGTGGAGGGACGCTTTGGGTGGAGCGGATGCCTTCATCTCTTAAGACGGGATGCCATTGTGCACATGCTGACACATAACTGTTCGCAAGTGAGGGTTTATTTGATGCCTCAACCAGCGCATATGCTTAACTCTACCTGCTTAATGGATACTCTTGGAGGAGATATGGTGCCGATTTACCGCCGGACGATTTGTTTATTTTACAACACGTCCATCAGCTACATGATCGGGGGCGGGAAGTGAGTGGCTCTTTAGTTGAAGCTTTGGGGCAGTGTTCTGGCTTCATGTCATTTCTTGTAAAATTTGTCTGGTTGTGTTCTATATTTTCTTTGGTGTATATTCTTTTGTGACTCTGTTTTAATCCTGTTTAATGAGATCCAGCTGACATTATGGTTCAGTGTATGTAAAGGTATACCTTTAATGCTGCTTCCCACGCTCGTACTGTAGGGGGAGCGAGTGAGGGGGTGGGAAAGTGTTTATTTACATGTAAACTGCTCTCTTGTTTCTATGATATTGTGGGAGTTAATTGTTTTGTTTTGTTTTGTTTAAATAGAACTGACTGCTATCAATCTAACTTTTGCAAGGACACTTTTACTGAGTGAGTGGTGCCTTTTTAATTGTATGTGTATTCTCAAGTTTTGGTATTGATGCCTTGTTCCTTCTCTCTCCAGAGCGGAGTCCCATACAACTTTCTGTCTCCATTACTCATATGATGGTGGTGGGTTTGCTGAATTGGAGTCGTCCACATTGGGTGATTTTAATGTAGTGCTGTGATTTTTAAAGTGTAATTCTCACGGGTGTTGCAGTGCTCTGAATAGGTAGCGGCGGGGACTCTGGCTCTGGAGAGGTGGAGGACCGGCAGCCTATGAGTCTAAGGGAACCTACAGAAACTGAGTATTGAACTGTTTTAATTATGTCCATTTTATGGTGTTGCAAAAATAAACATTGTTACATTGCACGGATTCTGAGTCTTGACCTTTCTGTCTCAGCGAACCTGAGTAGCCTTTGGCTAACATTTTGGGTCTCTGGTCCCTTTTATACCAGGGTGGCGTAGTCGGTTTATTCTTTTATATTTATAAAGTTGTGTATTTGCAATAGCAACTCAAAACGGGCCCCACCGCACACATGATGAACACCTGCTGTTAGCAAGCAGAATTACTGAAGAGAAACACAACAACTGACCTCTGATCCTTTGCTGAAATGTTGAGAATGTGTTGAATGTGTTTCATTTCTTTTAGGGCTGTGACTGAAGTCAGCTGTAGTTTTGTGTTTCTCTTCAGTAAAGCTGCAGTCACACTAGAGTTTGAGCTTGTAAAAAATCTGTCGTACGTCGCTGCGAAAAGGGGCGGGATTAAACAAGATGATTAGACATTAAAAAAAGTGAGCGATTGGTCCATGTTTTAAACTTCTGCCCAGAGAGATCATATTTTGATCCTCGATTTGTCTCACACTATCATATGATGCGTTTCACTAAGCTTGAACTTTTCAATGCAGCGATCTGCGAAACGAAGCATGAACTTGCATTTTCGGTCTGACGCATTCACATATGAATAAATGGAAGTCTATGGGGAGAAAAGTCCTCTGTGACCACAGCTTAAATCTGCTTGCTAACAGCATGTGTTCATCATTAATGCTCAATCAACACTCACTTACTTATTAATTCATTACCTTTAGCACTGAGTTCAAAACTCTTCAAATTACTAGAATTAACTTTTACACACACACACACATACACAGATAATACAGACAAACTTTACAATTTTCTAAACTGCAATTAACATGAACTAAAAACAAGCAATAATTGTACATTTATTAATCTGTTCAACAAATTAAGGGGATCAGACACATAATTTTTTATTATATTAAACAGATAACTCAAAATGTTTCCCCCACCAATCAAGTAAACTAATGGTCAGTCTCAACACTCAAGTGTAACGGAGGCCAGCTAGTGAAGTGCTGTGGGGGTAAACCTCACTCGTTAGAGGTCATGGTTTTTATTCTCCTTGTTAGAGCAACGGACTCCCATGCAAAGAATCAGCAGTTAAATCCCAGCTTGGAATGGGTTGGATGGTGTAGGACCGGCGGGTTACATTGGTGATGTGACCCGGATGGGAGTGAGGTTTAGGGGTATCGGAGGCCAGCTAGTAAAGTGTTGTGCAGGTAAACCTCACTCCTCTGACCTCTAAAGGTGCTCTAGCGACAGAAGCTAGAGGCCATAGTCTTTAGCCTCTTTTTCAGAGCATGTGACTTCCATGCAAAGTATCGTCGGTTCAATCCCAGATCAGAGCTGATTGTGTGATGTAAGACCGATGGGTTACACAAGCATTTAGGAATTTGTGAGCTAAAGGAATGCATGCATTCACTTAGGAACAGGCAAAAACTACCCTACAAAGCCCACAGTAAAAATATGCCCTTTTTATCCATTAAGATTAATAAAAACATTCATCTAATCTGTATGAGTAATCAAATACTGCCTTATATGTTACTTGTGTATTAAAGAGCCCCTTTTATACATTAAAAAGGGTCACATTTTGGTTTTGGGGGCCTCCATGTATGCATGTAAGGTCAAAAAAACGCTTTCATTGTCTTATAATATGCAATAATTTTTACCTAACTATCCCAATGACTCCCATATGATGCATTCCTCCCTCCTTAGTGCTCATAGTGTAGGATCTGACTGTAGCAGCAGCCCGAAACATGCTTTATAGTAGTTACTAACACCACAGTACCCGGTTCTCAACAGTGTCATTCAGACACCTCAACCCCGAACCGATTTTCAGGGACAAATGTTGGCAGGTATGTGTGTGTGTGTGTGTGCCCAATGCAGGAGTGCATTAAAGGAATGCAGTTAAACACCAGCATTTTGATCTATTCTTAACAGTGACACACATTTAGTATTAATGCCCACAGTGGAAAAAGCTGAACTATTTTAAAACTTGATGCCCGCATGTGTGTAGGAACAGCTGATGGTGGCCATAGCAAGGACAAACGCCAGTGGATTACGAGTATATAAATGCATTTAAATCCATAAACAAAGCGGCATGCGTTGCGTTTTCAATGTGGCTTTAGACGCAATATGAGAACATAAAGAGTTAACCACAGTTACTTAATCGCACTTACTTACATTTGTGAAATGGAGGAAGAAACTGGTTCATGAACTGTGTACTGCAAAGTCCCATACATCAATAGTCTTTTCTGATCCTCCCTTTAACAAATAGCTGTAACGAATTCCTGTTGTAAGCATGTAGATTACTAAAGCACTCATCAGAAAAATTACAGGAACACAGCACAAGGCTATGGCTCTAATGCTAAAGTATTTTTGCAAAAATAAACTTCAACCACGGACTCTTTCCAGTTTCATCTTTGGGAAGGGAAAATAACACTAATTTTCCCTCATATTTCCAATAATATCCAGCTGAACACAACGTCTTTGTGACATGATTAAACTGGGGGTTTTAATTTTCCCGGGTTTGCACGCACAACAAATGGAGCTGAAGTTCTGTATCGATGCCACTCCGGCACAGCTAAAGACTCATTATTAAGCTGATTCATTTGAAGCACTAAAAATCCAGTCTTTTATAGATAAATCAATAGTTTTAAAAATGGGGCACTTTCAGATTTAAACCTTAGCTGGATATTTGACTTCACTTAGAGCTATATTACGCACTACATGGAAGGTCATTTTTAAAAACATAATAGGGGCTCTTTAATACATTGTTTATTTAATTTTTACAACTAATTATGTTCTAATTTAGGTTTTTAACGAAACAAGATAGCAAGTAGACCATTGATAATTTACATAATATGTTGATACTTCTGCAACATATTAGTATTGTCAGAAACTTCAACAGTTTCTTCATCAACATCCAAACAAAATTCACACGCAAAATACCATGCTGGAAATAGGACATCCCTTAGAAACTTAACTTTCTCGTTGTTATCTCAGCTCATATGACATTATCATCCATGTAAAATCTGTAGGCCAGAGCCCCATCCTGCTCTTCCGCTGGATGTCACAGGAGAAGATGCTGAACTAACAGTCTTCTCCAACCACAACCTAAACTTGTGCCAGGCTTAGCCTTGTCTTTTCATACCTCAGAACCCTTGGAACTCTAACAAACTTCAGCAAAGATCAACAGGAGACTCAAAAACAGCATCAGAATGGGAATAAATGGAAAGTTATTTCTTATGAGCTGGAAATTAACATTCTTTAAAGGAATAAACACTTTATCCAGGGACATCGTCAAGTAAAAGCATGTAGTAAAAATTGTTAAGTAAAATCTAAAAATTACAGCTAAATATAATTAATTGCTAATATTTCTCTTGAGCTAATACTGCATGCCCAAATGTGAAAATCTACTTACTGATTTATTGAATGACCACATGTGGGAGATTGCTCGTATGCAAAGTATAATATTTCCATAATAGGTTCTTAAAAGTTTATTTTTTCAGTAGCCTAAATATTCTACTAGATGACTAAATGCTTTTTCACTCACGTGGAAAAGGCGTTATTCTGCTTTTCACAACGAATCCCTTTGCAGTTGTTGGGCTCTTCAGATGCCTTTGTCTCATAGTAGAAATAGAGTTGGTTGAGGCCATTGGCAAAGGCCAGAAGCACCAAACAGTAGATGAAAAGGAACTTGAGAATGTCCAGCAACATGCGACCGAGAGAGATTTGCAGTGGGCCCAAGTGAGAGTTGGCAGTGAACAAAGAGATGAGACGCAGGGAGCTGAAGATGTTGGCAATAGCAAATAGAGCCTCAGCGATGAGTGTTGGGTGCCACATTTCCCACTCCACACGAGGACGAGAGCTGTTGTACTAATGGATACAAATGAAATAATTCAGTACTGTAAAAACCTTTTTTCTACAACACATTTACAGTAGTGGCTAAATGATATACAGTTAAAGTCAGAATTACAGTATTAGCCCCCCTGATTTATTAGCCCCACTGTTTTATTTTTTCCCCATTGTCTGTTTCATGGAGAGAAGATTTTTTTCAGCATATTACTGAACATAATAGTTTTAATAACTCATTTCTAATAACTGATTTATTTTATCTTTGCCATGATGGCAGTACATATTAGTTTACTAAATATTTTATAGACATTAGAATTCAACTTAAAGTGACATTTAACTAGGTTAATTAGGTTTACTAGACAGGTTAGAGTAATTAGGCAAGTTATTGTATAACGATTGTTCTATAGACTATCAAAAATATATATATATATATAGCTTAAAGAGCTAATAATTTTGACCATAATTTTTTTTTCTAATTAAAAACAGCTCTAGCTGAAATGAAACAAATGAGACTTTCTCCAGAAGAAGAAAATATTTTCAGACATATTGTGAAAATTTCCTTGATCTGTTAATCAGAGTTAAAGAAATATTTACAAAAGAGAAAAAAATCAAAGGGGGGCTAATAATTCTGACGTCAATTGTTGGCCTAAACGTCACATTTGATCTTTTGTGAAAGTGTCTACTCTATTGTGGAAAGCTGAATAAAAAGCAATGCTAGGCACCTTAAAGTAAGCCACCATTTTAAGAGATATGGTGGCCAGGTAGAGTGAGTTCATTGCAAAATCCATCAGGTTCCACCAGTCATGGATGTACTCTGTGAAACCTCCATCCCACATCTCTTTAATCTCTGCCCAGATGAAGCCTGAAATGTAAAAGGAACAACAACAGCAAAACCAGACAATTTTAGACTTTTTATTTTAACACAGAATTACTAAATTAAAGTTATTTCTTCTGCATTATTGCAGTTTGCAGAACAAATATTTCTTAATTTTTATATCCTCAATCATTTTCTAAATAACATAGAATAAAGAAACTTTAAGGTTTCAGAAAAAGACGACTCGTATATGGAGAATGAAGTCACATGCATTGCTCAGGTGTGATTCTTTCAGAGACTTCAACAGAGTATAAAATTCTTGATGGTTCTGTGGGTTTCATCTATCAAATCTTATCTTTATTTTGTATTTTCTGTTTGATTCAAGTTAGGGGATTGACTGGGCCATTCTACAGTTTCATTATTTTCTTTTTTTTTAAACCATTTGAGAGTTTGAATACTTATTTCCCCCACTCTGTGTGTGTGTGTGTGTGGGGGGGGGGGGGGGGGGGTGTATTGTGAATTCACATTTATAGCACTTTACTTTTTTTAACTTTTTTACTTTTCTTATTCCAAATTGGATTAAATTCATTTATTTCCTCTAAATTCTACACACGATACCCCACAATGACAATGTGAAACTCTCAGACCATAAGAAACTAAATTCTCTGGTCTGATGAGACTAAAACTGAACACTTTGGTGTGAATGTCAGGTGTTACGTTTGAAGAAAACCAGGCACTGCTCATCACCAGGCTAATACTATCCCTACAGTGAAGCATGGTGGTGGCAGCATCATGCTGTGGCGATATTTTTCAGCAGCAGGAACTGAAAGACTAGTCAGAATAGAGGGAAAGATGAATGCAGCAATGTACAGAGACATACTGAATGAAAACCTGCTTCAGAGTGCTCTTGACCCCAGACTGGGGCAACAGTTCATGTTCCAGCAGGACAATTTCGGTGGAGGCCAAAGCACACCACCAAAATGTCAATTGAGTGGCAACTCTCACAACAACTCTGTGGATGTCCTTGAGGGACCCAGCCAGAGCCCAGAACCTAAATCCTATTGAACATCTCTGGAGAAATCTGAAAATGGCTGTACATCATCGCTTTCCATCCAACCTGATAGAGCTTGAGAGGTATTGCAAAGAGGAATGGTCAAAATTTCCAAAGACAGATATGCCAAGCTTGTGGCATCATATTCAAAAAGACTTGAGGCTGTACAGTAATTGCTGCCAAAGGTGCATCAACAAAGTATTGACTAAGGGCTGTGAATACTTATATCCATGAGATTTTTCAGTTTTTTTTTATTTTGAATAAATTTGCAATAATTTAAAAAAAGCTTTTTTTCCCCACAT